AACACCCATTCCGGGCAACGCCCTTCGGCCCCGTAGGCTGGCGGCGGGCGCGCGCCTCCCGCCCGCGCTCCCGCGCGCGCCCTCCCCTCAGCGAACAAAGGGCGAGGGCGGGCGGCGCGGTCGCGGCCCTGCAGGCCGAAAACGGGTCTGAAAGAGCCGGACGTGGACAAAAAGACGCGGAACTGAGCGCGCAAAGGGTGTTGAGGCTCAGGGCTGGGAGAGGCAGAGCCTGCACGCCGCGTTAAATGGGAGCGCTCCGGGCTGGCGAGCGGGAAAGGCCACAGGCCTTAAAATGCTGCTCACAAGAGGCTGGCAAGCAATAAATATCTTCCTATTGTGTGAGGAGAGACTGCGGGAGCTGGGCCTGGTTAGTCGGGGAAGGGGAGACTGAGGAGGGATCTCGTTAATGAATAAAAATATCTCCAAGGGGTGTCAGGGGATGGGGCCAGGCTCCTCAGCGGTGCCCAGCCACAGGACGGGGAGCAATGGCTGTAAACTAAAGTAGAAGTTCTTCCTCAGCATGAGGAAGAGCTGCTTTCCTGAGGGTGACAAAGAGCTGCTGTGCCTGGGGTCTCCCTTTCTGGAGCCGTCCCAAAGCCACCTTGGCATTATTCCTGTTTCATCTGCTCCAGGTGGCCCTGCCTCGGCCGGGGTGATCTCCAGAGAGCCCTTCCCACCCTCACAAATCTGTGGTTTGGTGATCTTTCCCTCAGGAACTTGACAAATAGCAATTCTGTAGCTTAGAATTTCTTTTTTTTCCAGCTTTTGCTTATAAAGGTACTGACGCAGAAAAAGTTTCCAGAGCGTTCTTTTCATGTTCTCCTCACAGCGTCCATCACTGCTCTGGAAGGGTTTGCGTGAAAGAGAAAGTAGGAAAAAAATAATAAGGAAGCATAAAATTTGCAATTTCTGTCTTGCAGATGGGACCTCACATAAACCAGGCAGGGGAGGTGCACCAAAATGGGATAATTTCCCACCAGAACTCATACTGAAACCCTAATTAATATTGAAAAGTAAGTAGAGATACACTATTGTGTCACTTTTCCTCCTATGACAGGTCTAAATCTGGGGCTTTTCCCTAATATTTGTTTATACATTGCTAAAAGGTGAGATTACTTGGCAACCAAAATAGGTTTATAGTAAAAGTAAACCAGCCCACAGCATTATAGCAAATTTTCAATTCAAACCTATCCAGCATGAATACACTGTAATAAAATAAACGACCCCACAACACACAAAACCCCCTCAAACACAACAAAAAAAACCCAAAAAAGGTTAATGAGGCCAATATTTCTTCTGCAAATTCTTCCCCCAGTAGATTCTTGCTTCCCTAGAATTTAAACCAGTGTTCCTTCTGACAGGAGGTGTGGTTACCTTTAATTAGTAAAAGAAAGAGCAGGTTTGCCATTTAAACTGTAGGAAAGTGGATTACTCAGGTTGGCTGTTATGGAAAACTATTAGATCCTGGTGTGGTTAAGCCTTTGATTTATAATGATCAAATGTTTGTTTTTAAATAACTTTTATGAGGCACTTAATTCATCACCTTGAGATTTACAAACAAAAAAATAAGAAATTTACTGAAAATAAAATAAATTATTCTTAAATTACTGTCCCAGATTGCTAATTTTCCTTCCAGTAACCATTTCTGTTCCACCCCTGAAATGTGGACAGGAATTACTCTGTTAAAATCTGTGGAACCACATTGTATGCAGATGGGGATGTCAGTGTTTCTGAGGCTAGAGATTCATCCAGCATCCCCATCTGGAAAATACTGATTAAATCTAGTGCTTGAGAAACACCACAAGTTTATTAGATATTTGCAAAGTTGCCTACAGATTTCAAAAGCAGTTAAACACAATAGTTTGGTCATTAAATCTAGGTGAGATTTATAGTAGGCAAGTTACATGTTGTTTTTTTAAATTTTTTTTTAGTTAGAGATTGCTTTTAGGCTTAGCAGAGGTTAAAATATCCTTATGGAATACCCCATTTATGTGGAAAAAATGACCACTTAATACATTAGGCAAAAAAAAGTACTATAGATAAAAGATTTCTTTAAAAAGTGCTTGTTTTACAAAGGAAAAATTCTCAGTCTTACAAGATTTTGTGGAAAAAATCTGTGTAATGAACAAAAATAACGTTCTGAGATTGATAGCAAATAGTAAATCACATTTTGCTTCTTTGAGAAAATAGCTGCACTGAGATTTTGTTATTGGACTAGAACAGTTGCACTGTGAATTAATTATATCATAAATTACATAATTATAACTGATAGCATTTTAAACTAATGCATGCCTTTTTCCCATTGCATGTTCTTATCATACAGATGCTGCTTTTCCTCCTTAGATTTTTTTACATGCTTTTACCAGTGGTGCAATTCTAATAACTAAACATGTTTTGTGTTATTTTTAAAATAAAACACCCATTCAGGTCTTATCCTCTCCTAGGAATCTCTATTTTTTTTGTCTTGCATTCTAATTTTTCTGCATTCTCTGTTTCATGAGAGCTAAAGGAGTTTCTGTCCACAGGTCTGTGCTGTGCCATGTCTTCAAATCCTTGGAATTTGGGTAAGGAGCTGGATCAGTCAGAAGAGTTTATAACACATTTACACAAATTCAATGCTTGCACCACCCCTGTTCTTTTGTAAAAATTCAACTGTTGCAATAGTTCCTGTTTCTGGTCCAGTGACTTCATCACATCTCATTCTTTGATTGATGTCCAGTTACTCTGCTGTCTTTGGGAGGGATGCTGAGGGTGGGAAGTGCTTCTTTACAGGGGGGAGGTTGTTCAGGTGGGCTTTGCTTTGGTTTGCTTTGTAAATCTCACTGGACAAATCAGTTTTGCTGCAATTTAAAACCTGGCAGAGAAATCTCACATTGCTGTGTGCAACAAGGTGATTTATTCTGCTGTCCTCATACAATCCTGTCCTGGAAGCTGCTGCACAGACATTATTTTTATTTTTTAAATTTCTTTTTCATTTTTAATCCTAATTTTTCACACAGATCCATGAACTGCCATGGTTTGCACTGTTCAGTGGATGAATGTGCAAATCACCAGAATTAAATGGACTTACCAGATACAAATATATCTCTTTCTATACACTGCAAGAATATTGTTTAAAACTACAAATTTAGCTGAAAACACCTGTGAATACTTGAAGATCTGGTATGGATAGTTAATAAAACCAATTTTAATGGGTTTTTTGTTAGTCCACTTTGAAGTTACAGTTTTGGTCCTGGTTAGAGCTACACAAAACCTCTCTGTAGAAAGGTTGCTCCACAGTTCTCTGTTGCAAAATTTCTTGCACCTTTTTCTCAATCAGCTGACATTAACCCCTTTGCAGGGAGCACCCTGAGTTAGGTGAAGCTTTGGGCAGTTTCACTTCTTAAGGTAATTAAATTTTTCATACAAATACCATTGGTATACTCAAAATTTACGTGTTGTTACCTGAGTGAAAACATTGCATGATTCTTACAGTAAATCAAGATGCTCCTGGACTCTGAAGGAATAACTGTCACCAAACAGGTATAAATTACATTTTCTACAAAAGGGTGAAAAATCAGCACTTCTCAAAATTGCAAAGCTCCTCAGAGGCTGTAAGGATATTGCTGAAGTAATAAATAATTATGTTTTGCCTCCTTTCTTTGTTACCTCAGATAAGTGTTTTTAATAGACTGCCCCAAAACTCCACCTCATATTCCAGAATCACACCATTCCCCATTCCATAACATTTTGTCTGCCTTTGCATCCCCTGATGGCTGCAGAGTGCATTCTGTGAACCCTGGAGAGAGCCAAGGAGACACTCACGTGCTTTTGAATTAGTTTGAAGTTCTCCATTTGGTCCCTAAAGAAAAGGAGAACTCTCATTTCTCCTGACATTGCACCAAAATTAACGGCAGCTTATACAATGTCTAAACTTCAGCTGTTCCTGAGTCTATTCAGAACTCCTTTTTTTACTATTGTTTTATTTTTTAAAACCTAATTCAGAGCTGTTCCAACCTGCTGTTATTTGCCACTTCTTTAACAATTGGATGACAATCATCAGTGCTGCCTTCTGAGGAAGGACCCAGGTAGCAGAATATCAAGATTATTCATTAGAGAAAATAAATAAGTGAAGGCAAACTGAACAGAAATCCTCAGTGGGGCCAGGCAGAGCAAAAAGTAGGAGTAGCTCAGTCTCCTTAGTTACATTCTGCATTCTCACAGTTTCTTTCAGTTTCCCTATTATTATGGAACAAAAGAGTTATTTTAAACACTTCTGAGAACATGGCATAAAATTAGCAAAACTGTGTTAGTCTGCAGAGAATATAATTGACAAGGTTTTAAGGTAAGGAGAGCTGGTTCTGAGAGTCTTTGTGCCAAGTGGCAAAGTCCATACACCTGAGTTTATAACTGACATGATCATGGAATTCCTGAATTCCAGTCTTATGGGGAGGGTCAGATGTTGTGTGTGAATGAGTCAAAGACAGTTAATTCAGAATTGTTGGGAGACTTTGGAAGTCACTTCAAAATCTCTGGAAAAATCCTTTACTGTGTGAGGGAAGCAGCAGAGTTGTGAAGGCCCAGAGCTTTCCTGGATGTGTTCCTGGGAATGTTATAATCATGTCTCTTACATGATTGTCTTGGAATATTTTGTCCTCAACAGAGGCAGAATTGGAGCAGGACACACTGGGCTCCATGTCCTTAAAAAGTCATTATCTTTAGTCCTGTTTTCTCACAAATTCTAATCTTGTTTTCTCACAAATTATGGCTGGAGGTGCTTTCATTTCCAGGGAAAAAACCTTGCTTCTATTCCCTTGTGACCCATTAAAAAAAAAAAATCAATGCCACAGGTATCTCTCACATCAACAATAATACAAATTTATTCCTAGTTCCTATGTTTGGCAGAACTTGTAGCATTTTCCAAAGCCAAAAAATTACAGATACTGTTGTCTTAGACAGAGGGAGCTGATGCAGAGTGATGTGAAATTCTTTGGCCACCAACACCCAGCACTTTATGGAAAGAAGGGAGATGAAGTGTTGGTGTTGCTTGAACCTGGATCTGCTGATCCTCAAGTCAACACCTGATTTTGTGCTGTGATACAATCCTACAGTGTGACACAAACACAGATTTTGTAATCTATGTGGATACTTGTTCAACAAAACACAAAACTTCTCTGCTGGGAGAGCTGTGTTCTGAACCTGGCTTTTTTATCATCTTCCAACTTTGAAGCATAAACAAGTGTCTCAAGGTTGGTCTGAGCATGCTTATGCACTTACCAAACACCAATTCTCCTTTTTTTTTAATTCTATTTAAACAAATCCATCTTGAGAGAGCCAAAAGAATAGCTTTGAGTTTTTTTTTCCTAGAATCAGAATTGTATCAGAGCTCTTTTCCATGTGCTGGGGATTGTTCTGGTTTTCCTTTGTACTCAGGTATTTATTATGAGTTCACATTTTTGCTGTACCTTTAAACTTGCAAGCTGTAGCTTGGCTTTTAAAAGTCCTTTGTTGCTCTTGGAAAATAATATAATAGCAACAAAGGGAATTGTTATAATCATCTTAAAAATCAGATTCTGCATTGTGTGTTTACACACACCTGTAAACACACCCATGCAGCTCTTCCTTAAGTAGGTGACATTTGGGTTGCATGAAGGCTGATCAAGCAGTTTGAGCTTAAAGCCTCACATTTCCCCCTTAAAGCCTCACATTTCCCCCTTAAAGCCTCACATCTCCCTGTTTAAAGGGACTTTCCTCAAGGGGTTCACCGAGCAACAAACAGAAAAACAACTGGGAGCCAGGAGATGCTGGGAGTTTAGAATCCACATTGAGAATTCAGCCTAGCTACTAAACTTTCCATGGTGTCAGACACACCAGACCTGTGGTGAAGTTTAAAATACCTTCCAAGACAAGACAGAATTTGCTCACCTTGCTGAGTGTCAGATTCCCATGGAGCTTCCCTGCCATTCTTCCATCCTTGAGAGAGCAGTGTGGGAAGGTGGGCACAGCTGTGTGTCCTCAGGAAGCTGCTGCCAACCATTTCTGTTCTCTCAAAGAGCCTGACCTGCAGCTGAAGGAGAACTTCAGTGCTGCTGCAAGATTCCAGAATCCAGAGAACGAAAATGCAGCTCTAAAACAAAAATATTCATGGTCAGGGGACTTGTACCACTGTCCTTGGAGAATCCCTGTGGAGTTAAAGCCTCATTGCCATAGAGAAGGTGTGCTTGGAAAGTTCAGGAGGCATTGATGGAATTGCAGTAGGTAATAAAATGAGTAAGTTCAGTGATGGTTACATCCCATGCTCCAAAAAGAAATATTTATTTGGGAAAATGTGCTGGCACCAAGCAAAACACAGTTCAGTTGCTGCTCAGAATGAAAGAACTTACAGCCAAGTTCTACTCATGTCCTTCAAGCAAGGGGCTGGGCTGCATTCTAAATGTACAAAAAGAGAACTTTCCTGTGATCTCGGGGATCTGTTACAGTAAATATCCCAAATCTCAAACCATTTGTCAGCAATTCTGTGAAACCCTTTCTTGGGAGGAGCTGTTACAGAGAACTTGCTCATAAAATTCATTTTTCCAAGCAGCAAAACAAAACTTTATATAAAGTGTGACATCTCTCTAGCCACTGCTCAGGAGAACTGACAAAGTACAAACAGCCAAAACAGTTGGATTTTCAGAGGCTGAATGAATGTTTTTGTAAATAAACAGCATGTGAAATTTAGGTTTATACAAAGACAATTACATATAGTGGAAAAAAAATAAGCCCCTCTACATGTATAGTTTTGCCTAGTCAAGCCAAAATATTTATTGAAGAAATAATTTTGATGGGAAATATTTTTATAAACCTTAAAACACAAACAAGTCTGGACTAAGAAGTTGCAAAGAGTCAAGAAACACATTAAAAAAAAGATACTCCAAGTAACATAAACCACCCGCTTTCCCCAATAACATTATCCTGAACAAACACAAAACTAGGAAGAAAACCCATAAAACCCCAGTGTTCTCTAAAAATCTTTAACTTTTCACTCACTGAACAATCCAGTTTCAGCCCTGAGAGTAAAACCTCCTTGTAGGTGATTATTGTGTGTTGAGAGGTGATGCTTGATTAAAGACATTTTTGCTCAAGAAGTGTCACAGCTGGAAGTCAGCCCTTCCATTTCTGGTGCTGTTGTGCCAATCCCATAAAACAGAAAGGCCATTGGGCTTTTGTGATTTCTGCCACAGTGCTGCCACTAGGGATTTGCATCAGAATTTTTCTTTTCATTTTGCAAATTTTACATTTGCAGCAGAAAAATCTGGATTCCAGGTTAGGAGTCCTAGACTGCAAGTGACTTAAATTCCCTACTAACCTCAGCTTGGGAACATCCTAGAAAAGATCCAGCATTACCAATGTACTATTCAGCATTAACTACAATAGACAAAAAGACAATTTTTAGTAAATGGACTTACAGCAGGATTTCAGATCTCTTAGATTACTGGGTAGTACTTCAAAGAATGGTTTTGTTTCCTTGAATTTAGTATTTTAAAATAGTAATTGAATTATTTCAATTCTTCACATTTCCACATTTATTTATTTTTCCCCTATGGATTATGGGCTACCATCATAGCATACCTACAAATAATTTAGTTTATAAGGGGTTCAAAAAGAACCCCTTAGAGAAAAAACAAACCATGAAAAACAGTTCATATCAGTACCACCTTCCAGTATTAGAAATAT